TATAGAAACCCGAGTGTGGTTGGAAGCATTCTATGTCTGCCATCGACCGGGTCAGGCACTCAGAAAGGTAAGCATCCCAAAACAAACTCCTATTATGGTGAAATTAATGCTACCATAAGCCGAACAAGTGGATAGAACTCCCCTAAAAGAAACGTGCAAACGAGCATGATGTCACACGTCGCTGTCTGCGCAGTTCCCCTCTCCCCGGGAGGGGGAAGGGGGAGCCTCAGACCCCCCCATGCCGGCTATCCACCCTTCAGTTCTAAGGCTGATGCTAGAGGGTGAGGTCGTGTGCTCTGGTTCTGGTGGTTGTTTCAGCACTGTACCTAGTGTGTGGTGACTGTCTTCTAGGTGGTGCGTGAGCCGGGAGTGATTCTCCAGTACTTAAGCTGCATGCCTTCTTCGTTCATCATCTTCCTGCTTCACTCTTGTCCCTGGTCGCTGGTGCTAGGGCTGTTCTTCTGGGGGGAGCCCCTATGGTTCCCCGGAGTTATCCATGGGTGATATGGATACTCTAACCATTTTGCATCGGTCGATGTGGGTGAAGTTCTAGGCCTACCGGGGACCACGAACCAGAACCTGGCCCCCTCACAGAGGCACGGGGAGCAATGGCCCATAGAAATACACATGTGATTTGGAGCATCCTATATCTGCCATTGACCGGGACAGGCACCCAGAAAGGTAAGCGCCCCAAAAAAAACCCTATTCTGGTTAACAACAAAAATCGGCAAACGAGTGAACAGAACTCCCCAAAAGAAAAACGAGCAAACAAGCATGACGTCACACGAGCCGCGTCGCATATCTACGTAGCTCCCCCCTCCCCGGGAGGGGGAAGGGGGAGCCCCAGACCCTCGCGTCGGCAATCCCCACCCCAGTTCCTTGGCTGATGGGATCATACATGGTCGTGTGGCTCTAGCTCCAGTCTTCTCTCAGTGCTGTTCATTGTTTTCAGTGCTGTTCTTACGGTGGTCATGTGAGCTGGGAATAATATTCTCAGGTACTCGGGCTACATGTGCTTAGGGTCTCCTTTCCTGAGTGCTCTGTAAGTACCGCCCTTGGGGCTTGGGGTTCTCTTCCACAAGTTGTCTTGGTTCTACCTCTGTTGGCCTTTCGCTGCTTGCCACTTGGCCGCCCCGAGTGTTTGGGGGGGTTTTCCTCCCTTGTTTTCCTTGGGGTAAGTGGTAGTTATAGCACTGGTTGTGTGCGGAGTACTGCATAGCTAGTTTTCACCTATAACAGCGGCCGACTCTGTTCCCTCTGGGTACGTTGGACTCACCCAGAAAATAGCATTTCATTACATTCAACGCTGGTTTTCTCGTTTTACTGGTGTCTCGTGTCGGACCCGTAGCCTCCGATCTGGCTGGCGTTGGAGAGTTTTCTGTTCTGTTCCTTCTCCTTCTTTGCCGGCTTGAGTTTTTGGCTCTGCTCGCTCGGTGGTTGCACCCAATATCTTCCCGCGGCTCTGCCTTTTCCTAGGCTCGATTGGTCCATGGCGGGGCTGGTTCAGTTCTGCCTCGAATATCTCACCTTTGGTTGATGGTCAGCTGGCTTCGTTGTTGGTGTCCCACCTGCGTGCTTCTTCTTGGCGGCAGTGTTTTTTTTTTGGCAGTCCTTCCTTTTCCATCTGTCCCTTCTTTGGTGGTTGTGTTTGTTGGTGTCGGCTTGTCCTTCTCTTGTGGAGGTTCGGGGCTGTCATCTTGCCGCATACTGTCGCCTCGTATCATGCGGTGCTGGCGGAGCCGCTTCAGCTTGCTTTCAGTCTTGGTGTTACATCTGTGCTGTTTCGCAAGCTGTCTTGTGCATTGTTTTCGCCTCCGGCCTGCTCGTGCGCCGCCTGAGCTGTCCTGGTCTTTGGACAGCGTGCTCTCTTTTTCTTCTTCTCCTCGGTTTGTTGTGGCTCCTTCGGTTCGGGATTGTTTCTCGACGGCTCTTTTCCTGTTGACGTTTGCCTTTACGGGTCAGGTCGGTGAGTTTCCTGCTCTCCTCCGGTACAGGGGTTTCTGCTCCTTCAATCGTGGCGATAGGTTTGTTCGGTTGCAGCCGTCTCCCTCTTTTCTGGCACGGAATGAGACTGCTGCTTTCAGGAGGGGGCCCTTGGGTTGATGGTGCTTGGTTGGTCGGGCTGCTTTCAGGAGGGGGTCCTTGAGTTGTTGGTGCTTGGTTGGTCGGGCTGGTTTCAGGAGGGGGGTCCTTGAGTTGTTGGTGCTTAGTTGGTCGGGCCGGGGGTGCATTGTTTTTTGTGTCCGGTTGCGGCCCTCCACTGTTATTTGTGTGCCACGGCTTCTGTGTCCTGAACGCGCTTTGGGATGATCCGGTTTCCTTCTTCCATGGTCACGGGTGAGGGTCTCCCAGGTCGTCTGCCGAGTTATTAAGGTTAGCCGGCCTGCGTTCTATCCCCGTGCCCATGACGTTTGTGGGTTCGCTGCTCTTGCTGCCGTCTTTGACGACATGCCCTGGCTGACATTCGGGCACGGGGCTATTGGCGGTTGTACAGGGTCTTGGCTGCTCATTTCCTTGTGGTTGTTCCCGGGCCCATTTGGCCCTGTGTCACCTTGGGTTAGCGGTTGCAGCAGTTGTCTCGACTTTGAGTTGAGGAGTGAGCGGCGATCGCCTCCTGGGTAAGTTCCTATTATTTCCTCTGTGGATAGTTAGCTCTAGGGAGCTGAAGGGGCTCCAGGGAGCTAAAGGGGCTCCGGGGAGCTGAAGGGGCTCCGGGGAGCTGAAGTGGCTCCGGGGAGCTGAAGGGGCTCCGGGGAGCTGAAGTGGCTCCGGGGAGCTGAAGGGGCTCCGGGGAGCTGAAGTGGCTCCGGGGAGCTGAAGGGGCTCCAGGGAGCTAAAGGGGCTCCGGGGAGCTGAAGGGGCTCCGGGGAGCTGAAGTGGCTCCGGGGAGCTGAAGGGGCTCCGGGGAGCTGAAGTGGCTCCGGGGAGCTGAAGGGGCTCCGGGGAGCTGAAGGGGCTCCGGGGAGCTGAAGTGGCTCCGGGGAGCTGAAGGGGCTCCGGGGAGCTGAAGTGGCTCCGGGGAGCTGAAGGGGCTCCGGGGAGCTGAAGTGGCTCCGGGGAGCTGAAGGGGCTCCGGGGAGCTGAAGTGGCTCCGGGGAGCTGAAGGGGCTCCGGGGAGCTGAAGTGGCTCCGGGGAGCTGAAGGGGCTCCAGGGAGCTGAAGTGGCTCCGGGGAGCTGAAGGGGCTCCGGGGAGCTGAAGTGGCTCCGGGGAGCTGAAGGGGCTCCGGGGAGCTGAAGTGGCTCCGGGGAGCTGAAGGGGCTCCGGGGAGCTGAAGTGGCTCCGGGGAGCTGAAGGGGCTCCGGGGAGCTGAAGTGGCTCCGGGGAGCTGAAGGGGCTCCGGGGAGCTGAAGTGGCTCCGGGGAGCTGAAGGGGCTCCGGGGAGCTGAAGTGGCTCCGGGGAGCTGAAGGGGCTCCGGGGAGCTGAAGTGGCTCCGGGGAGCTGAAGGGGCTCCGGGGAGCTGAAGGGGCTCCGGGGAGCTGAAGGGGCTCCAGGGAGCTGAAGGGGCTCCAGGGAGCTGAAGGGGCTCCCCTAGAAAACCAGTGTTGAATGTAATGAAATGCCATTTTCTGGGTTAGACCCGGAGACTCCCGGCATCCCTCCCTTCCTCCGGTTGGCAATTTTTCGCATGTTTTGACATCCAGCCTCAGAACTGAAAGGTGGATAGCTGGCATGGGGGGTCTGGGGCTCCCCCTTCCCTCTCCCGGGGAGGGGGAGAGCTGCACAGACAGCAGCACAGCGACGTGTGGCGTCATGCTCGTTTGCTTGTTTCTTTTAGGGGAGTTCTGTCCACTTGTTCGGCTTATGGTAGCAATAATTTCACCATAATAGGAGTTTGTTTTGGGATGCTTACCTTTCTGGGTGCCTGACTCGGTCGATGGCAGACACAGAATTCTTCCAACCACAAGGAGGTTTCTATAGGCCATTGCTCCCCTTGCCTCTGTGAGGGGGGTTCAGGTTCTAGCCCATGGTCCTCACTAGGCCCACAGAACCCCATACACATGACTGATGCCAAAGTCTGACATTAGCATTTCAGCCCAGTAAGCTCCGGGGAGCCTCCGGGTCTCGCCCAGAAAATGATGTTTCATTATTCAATGTTGGTTTTTGCAATTGCAACCTTGGACACTACTGCACCCTAGGTTGCAATTCTTTAACCATATCGTGGCGTAGTTATCTAGCGCGTGCATTTGGGAATACCCGGCACGTAGGTTCGAATCCTCATGAGGACACCCCAGTGTTATGAGAACATCCATGTGGTGATATTGGAACATCCAAGTGTATATATGGGGGATGTCCCAGTCTAGATACTAAGGGGACATCCTGCTGTATATATTATGGGGACATCCCAGCATAGATATTATGGGGACATCCCATTTAGATATTATTGAACAGCCTAGATATTATTGAACAGCCTAGTCTAGATATTATTGGGACATTCCAGTGTAGATACTTTGGGCCATCCAAGTGTAGATATTATGGGGCATTCCTCTTTAGATATGGGGACATCCCAATGTAAATATGGAGACATCCCAGTGTAAATATGGAGACATCCCAGTGTAAATATGGAGACATCCCAGTGTAAATATGGAGACATCCCAGTGTAAATATGGAGACATCCCAGTGTAAATATGGAGACATCACAGTGTAAATATGGAGACATCCCAATGTAAATATGGGGACATCCCAGTGTCTCCACTGTGACAATGGGGATATCCCAGTGTAGATATAATGAACATATGCCTATTTGCCCATATAAATACCAGCAAAAATCGGTGTACTTTATTATGCAAATATTCATTTAAACAACGTTTTATAACTATATTTGATTGTCTACTTTTATTTTGTTAATTGATATAGGTTTTATATTTGGTAATATTGTTAGTTTTTATTCCTCACTTACAACTGATAATGGATGTTACATATTATTGTACAAAAAATTATAATATTATTATTATTATAATAATCTGAAGGTTATTTTAATTATATATTTTCCCCCTCAGTACGACCTCAAGTTACAAAAACGAGTCTCTCCGTGGGTCCAATCCACAGTTAGCGGCAAGCAGTGTTGCCACCGACTCAACTCTAGAGATGAAGAAGGAGTTAGACTTGGCAAGGGACACTCAAGACCCGCACCTTACTGCAACTTTGCCCAGGGATCAAGCGCCACCTTTTCATTACGTTTCTGCAGATGTTCTGTCAGGCAGACAGTCGAACACTCCTTCAGAAGATTCTCAAGATTACTTTTCTCAAGGTCGATCACAGAGCCAACCCTTGGAGACAGCCATGTAAGAATTGTTGATATTTGTCTTTATTGGTAATTAATGCAGCACAAGCAACAGAGGCTGACTATTCTACAGTAACAAATGGAGCAGAACAATGAGGGGTTTAAATAATACTGTAGTGCCACGTAAGAATACATATGCTTAGTGTGAAGCAAACTATCCAGTGTGAGCATTGTTGCATCCCTTGTAGGAAGTGATACCTGGTTGATAAAAGTGGAGGACCTGCAGTGACTGTTACTTGTAGCTTAGCATTACTTGATGTACTGAGAGATCTGTGCAACTGCACGAGACCCAAAGCCATTTGAGAATGTGTTACTGTGTGTGCTAGAGATGACTTGAGGCAATTCTCAAGCAGTAACTAAATGGTTTATATGAGTCAACTAACTTACCAGGTCAAAACACTTATAAAGTACTGTATATGGCAATGGCTTTCACAGTATCACACACACTAGATAAATGTTAACAAATATTATGAAATAGCATTTGCAAAAAAATTTTCTTTTATCAGTGCAGTAACTCGGTTTTTCTTTTTTAAATTAACTACTGAAGTTCTTTTGAATTAAAAGTAAACCTGCAGATGATCTTTGAGTATTTAGAAAATATATAATTATGACAAATTTATTTTAGGTAAGAATTATACAGCATACAAAATAATTTGGTAATATATAAAGTAGAGTGAATAAGCAACATAAGAAACTGGTGTTAACGCATTTTCACGAATATAAGCTTCCAAATGCTAGCAGCAGGCTCGGTTATGGCACTATTTCAGTTACCTCATTTTTAACCTGCATCCTCAAGTTATTTATACATGCTGCATCAAAACTATATTTACATTCAAAATGAATAGTACACAGGGAATGTGTGAAGAGGTAGAGTAACTGTAGGACCAACATACTAACATGATGTTAATCCTTTGGCTGCTCAACAAAATTCTAACAACCCTCCATCAAGGACAATTACAAAAGTACTGTAATTGAAATTGCAGATGGATGAATCAAAGTTAGCCCTCACATCAATAACACATTTTCTTTTATCACAGTGATAGAAAATGTTCGTAGAGAATCAAAACTAAAATTTTTATACCATGTCTGTATGAAAATTTGTTTATGAAAAATATGTTTGTTCCTAGGACTCAACAATGTCACATGGCTCAATTTTTTTGTATATAGTAATAAAAGGATTTGGGCATGAATCTTCACTTTGGGCATGAATAATTACAGTTTCTGAAGTTATGCAGACATTTTTTTCATTATTCAAAATAAAGTAAAATATTGAATAAATACAGTTTGTTCATGTCGAAACAAGAAATACTTTTTGTGGAGGTGATTGAGAGAGAGGTGGTAATGGTGGTGGCCATCTGGGGGGAGACGATGGTGAGGAGTGGAGGGGCCTTGTAGGGGACGGTGGGAAAGCTCACATATCAAACTGTCAAGAGCGCCATGTTTACTTTCGCAAGTAAAAACAATATAGGTTATGTTCGTGCAAATATAGTATAGTGTATCTGTAAAACCCCTAAACTTCCAATATATAGCAGACTTACCATTGTTTATGCACCAATGTGGCGATTAGTTTAAACTAATATTGATTCTCTGTATAGCAAGGCTGTGTTAAAAGCTGTGTTCACTGTGTTAAAAACTCAACTTAGTTTGATTTAAAGCTATATGCAATGTACTTATTAAAAGCTTCCATGAAGCCTTCGGTATCAATGTATAGTCCATGTGCTAGTGATGTATGATCTATTGCTGGCACTATTGAAAGCACCATACACAGCATGGAGCAACAGGTGGTTTGTGCACATAGCAGTGATGTAGAGAGCAAAGTGCGGTGCTCACTTGTCTGACTGTTGTAATGGAGGTACCATACACGAAAATGCTGTTGAACAGTAATGCACTCCATTAAGACTATTTTACTAAAGCTGTAGATATCATGTATAGATATAATTCTGGTGATTGTTGTCAGGGTGTTTTGTTGTTACAGTAAGATGCACCTTAGGTGTTTGATAAGACAGATGATGTTAAATCTTCCAAGCTGTAGGTTTAAGATTGGTATTCATATCAATAACTAACTAAGTATTGTTTCTTACTAGGTAAAATACTCGTTATTATACCTAAACAAATTATTAATTTTAGTGAAGAGATAACTAATATTTTCATATGTAGAAACAGAGGTTGTAACTTTGGGGAGCTGTTTCATATTAAATACTGTATCTCGGTAAAACGAGAACATATAACTACACCGTAGTCTTAAAACTACATAACTGTATGTATTAGAAATAAGCTACATTTTAAATTGTTAGAATAAAACATGTCATTGATTACAGTTGTGATCAAAGACATTATGTAAATAAAACTGACGTTGAACTCAGTGATGATTTGTCAAAAGGTCAAGATTTTCTCAGACAAAATGCCCTTCATAAATTGAACTCATTTTGATAGTGATGCATAACATTGCTGCATATTAGATTATTAGTGATCATTCTGGTTACAGCTCGTGTTCAAAGCACCTCTCTTTAGTAGACTATATTTGATTTCAAGGAAATTCCAGTTACAGACGTGATATGTGCAAATGTTTTTAATAATGTAACTAGTCACTGTATATAAATGGCATTTTTAGCTTATGATAAGAAGAGTAAATAGTATGCATTTTTATATTGCTCATTATATATGTTTAGATAATTATTATTGTACAAATATACCTAAATGTTTAATACAAACTTCTCATAACTGTCAGGTTGGTGATGACTTGAGATAATATTTATACACAAATGTTTGTGTAGTTGTGTTTAATTAATGAAACTCTCATTAGATTTTATCCAGATTAATTGTACCTATTATTTCAGTGCAAATGAGCTTTAATAACTCTCTTCATTTTGCCCCTGTTCTGGGCACACCCTAACCCATGCCCCTGTTCTGGGCACACCCTAACCCATGCCCCTGTTCTGGGCACACCCTAACCCATGCCCCCTGTTCTGGGCACACCCTAACCCATACCCCTCTTCTGGGCACACCCTAACCCATACCCCTCTTCTGGGCACACCCTAACCCACACCACTCTTCTGGGCACACCCTAACCCATGCCCTTGTTCTGGGCACACCCTAACCCATGCCCTTGTTCTGGGCACACCCTAACCCATGCCCTTGTTCTGGGCACACCCTAACCCATGCCCTTGTTCTGGGCACACCCTAACCCATGCCCTTGTTCTGGGCACACCCTAACCCATGCCCTTGTTCTGGGCACACCCTAACCCATGCCCTTGTTCTGGGCACACCCTAACCCATGCCCTTGTTCTGGGCACACCCTAACCCATGCCCTTGTTCTGGGCACACCCTAACCCATGCCCTTGTTCTGGGCACACCCTAACCCATGCCCTTGTTCTGGGCACACCCTAACCCATGCCCTTGTTCTGGGCACACCCTATCCCATGCCCTTGTTCTGGGCACACCCTAACCCATGCCCTTGTTCTGGGCACACCCTATCCCATGCCCTTGTTCTGGGCACACCCTAACCCATGCCCTTGTTCTGGGCACACCCTAACCCATGCACCAGTTTTGGACATTTTGCCCACAGCAAAGTCTGAACATCCTGGATACCGTGTCTATGCCCCGGCCCTTAACATAGCCTGTTGACACACTAAGAGTAGGCTAGCTATGCTGTAGAAGTTATGTTGACACACTAAGAGTAGGCTAGCTATGCTGTAGTAGTTATGTTTTGTTATAAAACGGTGCCAAGTCTGGAAGGTGCTATATAGCCTTCTGGGCTCGGCACTTTCTTTTTGTAATTACTTGGTTCCAATGAGCTTACTTAATTTCAATGTCTTATCTACCAAAAGACACCTTGTCTTGGGCCACACCACATGGCTGGGTACACCTTGTTTTGGACTACACCATATGGCTGGGTACACCTTGTCTTGGGCCACACCACATGGCTGGGTACACCTTGTCTTGTACCACACCACATGGCTGGGTACACCTTGTCTTGTACCACACCACATGGCTGGGTACACCTTGTCTTGTACCACACCACATGGCTGGGTACACCTTGTCTTGGGCCACACCACATGGCTGGGTACACCTTGTCTTGGACCACACCACATGGCTGGGTACATCTTGTCTTGGACCACATCACATGGCTGGGTACACCTTGTCTTGGACCACACCACATGGCTGGGTACACCTTGTTTTGGACCACACCACATGGCTGGGTACACCTTGTCTTGGACCACACTACATGGCTGGGTACACCTTGTCTTGGACCACACCACATGGCTGGGTACACCTTGTCTTGGACCACACCACATGGCTGGGTACACCTTGTCTTGGACCACACCACATGGCTGGGTACACCTTGTCTTGGACCACACCACATGGCTGGGTACACCTTGTCTTGGACCACACCACATGGCTGGGTACACCTTGTCTTGGGCCACACCACATGGCTGGGTACACCTTGTCTTGGACCACACCACATGGCTGGGTACACCTTGTCTTGTACCACACCACATGGCTGGGTACACCTTGTCTTGGGCCACACCACATGGCTGGGTACACCTTGTCTTGGGCCACACCACATGGCTGGGTACACCTTGTCTTGTACCACACCACATGGCTGGGTACACCTTGTCTTGGGCCACACCACATGGCTGGGTACACCTTGTCTTGGGCCACACCACATGGCTGGGTACACCTTGTCTTGGACCACACCACATGGCTAGGTACACAAACTACTGTGAACAACATAAACAATCCTAAACAAATTAAACGAGGATATTTAACTTGGAGACAACTGAAACGCCCATTACGGATGTTAATTTTTTAACACGTAAAACAACAAAAATACAGCACTGTAGTTGCAACACATTCACATTTGACCAAATATTTGAAAACGTTAGCATCCACACACTGCACTCATAGTCCACAAAGTCCCAAACATGTACTCTAAATGCATTTTCTTAGTATTAAGAATATTGTATAAAAATTTCCCGTATATTTTGTCAAATACTTGTACACTGGTTAATTGTAGGAATCTGTGGTGAAAGAGTTGCAGTATTTACTGTTTAGTAATTCTGAGCACTTTCAAATGCACAATATGGTTTTTTAAATACATATTCTGTACACGACTTGTGCACAATTTGTTCACAACACTGTGCATCCAATATGATCGGTTATCCCACAGTTTTGGCAATATGTTCATGTAATGTTTCTCTAACTTAGCATTTTAATGCATCATGTGAAATTCAGATGTGTAAGATTATTAGAACTCTGATGTTGCTGGTAAAGATCAATATTCATTAAATGGTTAGGTAATCTCAAAGCTCCACTAAGGAAGTTAATGAAAGTGGTGCTATTTCTGACCTAAGAATAGTGATAAGGCCTGAGCTTGGAGAGATGGAGCAAGTCCTAATGATAAGAAGTAGGTGTATCTGCAGCGGACTACTTCACCTATTCTGGCAGATGTCCATCTAGATCTACTAGAGAAAATCATTAGAGAAATGAGTTCTCCCTAAATCATTAGGACTTATTTGATCTCAACATAACTAATCCCTGTCACAGTCCTTAATGGTCAATAGGATGACCAAAGAAAGCACATTTAGAGAAATGATGAGTAAATTTGACACCACTCGGACACACATGACACACAACGAACCTCTGCCTCTGAAAATTGATTGACTGGACTTGAGCTGTTGAAAATAATAGTTTAAGCAGCAGACAGTAATCCTTCATAGGCAACTACAGTACTTGGGTTTTGGAGTCAACATATCTTTGTATAGCTTGAAGAATGTTAATTTTAAAGAGGTTTGCAGCCCCCAAGGAACCAAAAAAATTGTCCCATAAGTACTTAACAAATATAGTTTGCTTATGGTAGACTCGGGAACCTAACGCACAATTAGCAGATGCCTAATGCATATGAATAATACAACTTTAAATAAATAGTATATATTTTTGTTGCTACTACATGCTCTACAGATGGAGTATTACAACTAGGTTACATTGCAGTTCCACAGGTGAATACCCTATTTTAGGCTTCTTTTTTTGATAAACTGATAATATGAAGAAATTTATATATACTGAACTTTACTCCCAATTTTAATGTTAACCGAGAGTTGCACATTATTAAGGTGTACTAAATAACATGTTTAATATTAAGGGAAGGGCCATAAGAAGATATTAATCATTCCAAATAATTTTTTAAATATACTCAGTATTGTGTATAAACTCAATGGATTCATAAATTATTAAATTTAGCACAATTTAAAAGTAATGAGGTTTTCGTTTAGTGATGTTTGAATGCTCATGAACACATTCGTGAGATTATATACATCTTCAGTTGGCCTGAACCTCTGTCATACACGAGGGAGTTTCCTCATTTGTATCTTATATGAAATAATGTTGGTCAATACATGTGAAATGTCTAGGTAAACCACCCAAAATATCACAGCACACACGTAGTAAACCAGTGGCACCGCAGCACTGTTGCCGAGTCTGAGTAACTCGTGTCACCACTGGCATCCTTGTGCCTTCTCAACAGCACCTGTGCCTTGTCCGTACCAAAACTCATGTTCAGGTGGACCTTACTTTTACTACAGTTGCAGCAACATCTGCTAAATATTAGATTTAAGTTCCTTTTCCTTCATGTGACAAGAGAAATATTAAGGAACCAATGGTGTAATATATATACCAGTATGTATTTATTTTCTTATGCCGTTGTTTGTGAAGACAGAGTTTGTGGTATTTAATAAACTGTGTGATAATCAAGATGTTTTAACTATAATATTTATGGAAATAGTCTTCTTGTAGAGCTCAAATTTTGAAATATGAGAACTGTCATTTACAATTTCAAGTATTTTAAATACAGTAACAAAATCAGTTTCCATTATCATGTGTTAAATATACTCAATTTCTAAAGAATGTACTTTAACAGTTCCTATATTACTTCCAAATATTGCTGTCAGAAAATATTACTAAGAACTTATATGGTGTTTCCCAATGTTAGTGATAGGATGCTGGATAGGCTTATTGAAGTCTCCCTATGCCAACATGTGACCGTCCTCAGGATGCAACCCCACAATAGTGTCCCAACTCCTTGTATCTATTTATCCACAGGTGAACAGGTGCATCAGGTGTAAGCAAATGTGCCTAACCGTCTCCGTCCTACATAATAATAGAACCAGGACCCTTCACTTGTGAATGACTTCACAACTGACAACAGGTTCTGATAACGAGTTAAAATGCAAATTCAAAGCCCAAATAAAATAAAGAGCTCTCCAGAAATATTTTAGTTATTTATATATACAGTATTTTTATTTTACAATAAATTTTTCAGATATGTGATCGTAAGTGACAGAGCAAGTACAGCTTGGACTCTGGAGTCTAATAAAGCTGTGACTCTGTGCATCTTACAATGTGATTCACAAACTATTTTTTAAGATTCATTATTGTGCATAATGAAACCTATTTTATGAATGATACGTATAGGAACATATGTAAATGAAAGTAATTATTGTGTACATGAATCAAGTTTGTCACACTAGATTAGTTTTTATACTTGTAAATTTGTAAAATAAATCTATGTAAAAATACTTGTTTTACTAGCTTCATCCAATAAGTAAACACGGTTTTGGTCTACTGGATGTTCTATGATTGTCATGTATCAGTGTGAACAAGCTTACACACACACCACCAAATAAGGCTAAGGGTTAAAAGTAGCTAAGGAATTGTATATGTTTACTGAAATATAGTACAGTATGTATTTTCTGAGTGGCATCAGTAGCTTCACTGATGGCCCTTTGTATCAGTGAATAACAGTGCACTGGCCCTTTTACTACAGACATCCACAAAATTACGAGGGGCCAGATTCACAAAGCAGTTATGCAAGTACTTATGAACGTGTGCATCTTTCCGCAATCTTTGATGACTTTGGTTACATTTATTAAACAGCTTACAAGCATGAAAACTTCCCAATCAACTGTTGTTATTATTAAACAGCCTCCTAGTGCTTTGGACCTCATTAGCTACACTACACACACAAATCACAAGTGCGTGATGCATCAAATGAACAAATCCACAAGGGCCGTGACGAGGATTCGAACCGAGGTGCATGGGGGGAGTTGTGTAAAACCCTGGTTTGTGCCTCAGAGAGGCTGCAGGATCCAGTAAGTTCAGTAGAACTTCGGTTTCAACTCCTTTTGACCATGTCGTAGCTCAGTCGATTAAGGCAGCATCTGGGATGCTCTCGGACGCAGGTTCGAATCCTCGTCACGGCCCTTGTGGATTTGTTCATTAGCTCATTAACTGTTTAATAATTGTAAACAAAGCTGCCAAAGATTGAGAAAAGATGTACAGGTTCGTAAGTGCTTGCACAACTGCTTCGTGAATCTGGCCTCAGGTCTCAGGCCTACCAGACACCAGGACTAGAATCTGGTGTCTGGTACAATCTGGAGGCACAGAAGAGGAGCATGGTGAATCAGAATCAATCCAAAACTGCCCAGGTGAAGCACGGTGCTAACTAGATGATCAGACATTGGCTGTGGCAGGAGTTCCTGCCAACTACGATCACATATTTCACCTGCATTCTGCTTTTGTGGCCCCCATGACTGGCCGTTTTAAGCACCACTTACCTTGAACACCTTTCCGAGGTCTAGGTTCTGGTGTGCCTTTCGTTTGGTGAGAGCTGAACTCGAACCATTCTCCCTTTTTCAAGGCTGATGCCTTTTTGCTGTTCACCTCACATTAGTAGCTGAAGGATGTTTTGCTATTTTCCACTTTTAGGTTAATTCCAGTGACTGTAGTGGGGAGACATCTTAGGGCATTTTGGTGGGCTTGGGCATGGGATGCTTGGGTGTTCTGAATACCTTGTGTCTTGTGCCTTCCAAGTTACTTGGTTTTCCCTTTCATGCAAAATGTCCCCTGGTTCTTTCCCTGCCATCTACACCTGTTGTTTGTACATTCTTTCTTGAACTGTTGGAGAAGTAGGGGATCATTGCAGTAACAGAAACAACAGATCACCCTGTTGTTTCTGGTTCAGAAAAAGAGCCTTTATGGATCCTCAGTTTATCCCTTATCCTCTTAACACTTCCACTGCGACACAATGAGGGATGTTCTTGGCAAATATCGGCAAGATGTGCAACACAATCAGGGATGTTTTAGAGTACATTGGTTATCTTCTACTTGAGGTTATCGTGAGATGATTTCGGAGCTTAGCGTCCTGGTCCTCAACCAGGCCTCCTTTTTGTTACACACCCCCAGGAAGCAGCCCTTAACAGCTGTCTAACTCCCAGGTACCTATTTACTGCTAGGTAACAGGGGCATCAGGATGTAAGAAACATTTTGCCCATTTGTTTCCGCCTCCACTGGGGATCGAACCCGGAACCTCAGGACTACGAATCCGAAGCACTGCCCACCCAGCTGTTAGGCGCCCTAGGTTAGGAGCTTTTACCTCAGCTAACGAATTTAATCCGTTCCCAGAGACTGTTCGTAACCCGAAAATTCGTAAACCAAACAGAATTTTCCTATAGGAAATAATGTAAATTGAATTAATCTGTTCCACATTCCCAAAAATATTAACTTCAAAGTAAATTTTATACCTAATTCACCCAAATCTTTAGTACTAAAGTATGTACAAGTTATTGCTTACCTTTATTGATGACTCTTGTTGGCATATGGAAGATGGTGAGAGGTGTTAGTGTTTGGAAGGGGAGTCCCCTTCCATTACAACATCAGGCAGTGATGACTTCTCTGGGGGTACTCTCCTACGTTTTGCAGAAGTACCACTAGGACCTGGTTGTGGTTCACTGCTTGCTTGTCTTACTAAGAATCTGTCTAAAGACACTTGTTTTTCCTTACATTTTAACACTTGTCTGTAGTGAGACATCACATTGTCATTTTAAAGGTCAATGCAACAGTCTGCTACAGCTAAAGGGAGCCGGTCGGCCGAGCGGACAGCACACTGGACTTGTGATCCTGTGGACCCGGGTTCGATCCCGGGCGCCGGCGAGAAACAATGGGCAGAGTTTCTTTCACCCTATGCCCCTGTTACCTAGCAGTAAAATAGGTACCTGGGTGTTAGTCAGCTGTCACGGGCTGCTTCCTGGGGGTGGAGGCCTGGTCGAGGACCGGGCCGCGGGGACACTAAAGCCCCGAAATCATCTCAAAATAACCTCAAAAAAAAAAAAAAAAAAAAATAGCTTTATCTGGGTGAGTTTTTTCAACAAAACTATGCAGTTCTTCCCATATTTCACACATTTTATTAATGAGGAAGGAACATTCTCTACTGCCTCTATTCACAACTATTTCCTTAGTTTGAACCTTACCAACCTTGACTTTCTTGGGACCCCATGGCGAGATATATAATAATTACTTTTATGTTCAAATACCAAAAAATCCAAAAAATACTGAAATTCTTTACAAAGAATTCAGGCACGATTGTCACTAGGCGGGAGGCACTGATAAACTGAGGCGCGGTCGCTGTGCCACCACACGCTAGGTCGGCCATACGCGTACCAACAAACTACATTACCCGAGGCAACGTTCGTAACCCAATTCGGATTTTATGAAGAAATTGGGCTTGCAACCTGAAAAAGTTCGTAAAGAGAGGCATTTGTAAGCCGAGATGTCACTGTACTGCAAAATGATTTAAAACTCCTGCCTGCCAGTACATGGGGCTCACATCTGCGCTCTCAGACCTCCAGTAAACAGACACCATCTTGGAAAATAAATCGTTGGCACTGCTCCTGGGTGTGAAGGGCCTTAGTACAGTACTGAGAGCACGACCATGGGTACCGCATGCACCAAAATATCTCTGCACGGCTGTGAGTTTGTGCCCACAGCACTTGATAATAATGATGAAAGGAATTGATTATTTTACGATAATAGTGTCATAGAAGACCCTGACTGTGATATAGACTATGTACAAGGTTCAGATATCAGTGAACCTCATGCTGGCTATGAAGTTCACAGTATAAGGTAGACAACCAGAGAACACAGGTGTTATTTGGTGCTTCTACATGTCATGTAACAGGGCCTCATAGTCCTCAAGACAATAAACTTATAGAAAATTATTCATATTCAGGATTTAGTGACCAGAATTCTGATAATAATAGCAGCATTGTGGCAAGAGTTAGCGATGTGCATAATATAATATATCGGGAGGCATTTTGCCGAGTCAGACGGCATCATCTAAGCTGACTAGTACGTGGGGCTACGTTGTGTTTGGACTCACTACAACAGCTTAGTGGTTCGTAATGATGGATACAAATTTTAATACATAGTTATATATAACTGGGTGGCTGCAGTAGCTCTCCATATCTGCTCTTTTTTTTTTGCCCTTCCTCCTTGTAGGGATGTGGTTTGTCTTGGCGGTGGCACACGAGTCAGAAGTCAGCCAGGCTGGACCCTTGCAACTTAGTGGTTTGCCTAGGTACTAATACAGTATTTTGAGATTGGGCAAACTACTGCTGTTCTTGTTTCCATGTTAACCTAATTAAGATATAGAATATTTTGCTTCACCTACACTTTTTGGGTGGTTTTGCTCAGACTTGGGTAAGTCTCTGACCCCCCCCCCCCCATGCTCCCATCACCTCTACGAGCAAACCACATTCTGGCCATGGTGTTCTGTGGGCCTCTACAAGTCCAGAGGCTTGATAGTTCTGTGGATGTCTGAGGAACCACACCAAGTGTGGTGCCGAGCTACCGAGGTCGCCCAGATAAGAGCATTTCATCACATTCAATGATTAATTTAATGACTAGAAAAGTACTATTTTTATGCACCTTGCTGACACTCAAACAATATTAAACTACTAATACACTGTAATAGACAGATATTTAAATATTTAATGTAATCAACCTATTCTATTTGACAAGTGTCCATTTGCTGCACTTTTGCAATGTGTGTACAAATCTACACACATCAACCTAATCTACTGTATCCAATGCTCATTATTACTGAAAAGTGTATATTTCTTATGTTTTAATTTTCACTAAATAGTGTTCAATTTGTACAATTTTATCCATATCATACAAACACGGATGAACTTATTATGAAGACGGGTTGGAACATAAACTTGGTAAAAGCTAACAAATATAAACATGTTAAGAACTTGGGTAGAATATGATGACTCACATCTTGGAACACTTCTTACAGTAATTACTTGCCACCGTTACAACAATTGAATTCATAGCAAATTAAAAAATAAAGTTGTATTCTTACAAACATTAGATATAAAATTACAATAAATTCCACATAAAATAGTACAAACAAGTTGTTGATAATGGAAGTAGAGATAAAAAAAACTTTACAATAAGTTGCTGAAGGTTGGACAAATTAGCCATTATACAAATATGAAATGGAAACTGAGGTTTACCACGTACACACACAGATGGCCAGTGTGTTCACAAGGGGCTGTAGCTGCGGCTCTCACAAGAGTGGAGAAGGAAATGCAGTCATACAGGAAACCTCACAAATGCTAAGCACAATACTGTAGTTAAAACTTAAGAATTAAATGATACTACTAATTAGCACACGACACCTGAAAGTATGACTAGATGCAACAATTAATAAAAAACTTTCAAACAGTATTGGTAGTTTGATTGTTGGTGAATGTGCTGCTAAAAGTAACTTATATTTTGGATGAAAAATTATAAACAAAGACTAGATCATCCAACAGGAATGCAAATAAATAATGCCTCACACATTTCTCATTTCTACAATGAATTCAGTTTACAGTACAACAAATTTGTCACTTTCGTGCTGGTAAGCCGTGGTGTGTTTGTGAACAGTTCACACCCTCTTGACCAATGATGCAACATACACCCACACAGATATAATAGATGCTGGGTAAGACTTGAGATGAATAGCAAGGGCAAATTCTGCCTCGGGTGCCTGAGTGAGGTGGACCCCAGTACTGTGCACGGCCTCCACCACACTGGCCATGGTGCTATACCCCTGGTGCACACACACGCCACACACCTGTAAAATCTCAATGAGTTTCAATGTTAATTTGTAACCCCCCCAGCTGGATTAGCTAGGCAATAGTAGATCATAATACATACATAAAATATAAAGTTTTTAATGAAATTTACTATTTTTCATTAAATTGACTACAATCTTGTAACCCTCATCATTATCCATTTTTCCAGTTGCATTGGGTGTAGAGGCATGAGGAAATAATCAAGCATTGGGTGTAGAGGCATGAGGAAATAATCAACCATTGGGTGTAGAGGCATGAGGAAATAATCAACCATTGGGTGTAGAGGCATGAGGAAATAATCAACCATTGGGTGTAGAGGCATGAGAAAATAATCAACCATTGGGTGTAGAGGCATGAGGAAATAATCAACCATTGGGTGTAGAGGCATGAGGAAATAATCAACCATTGGGTGTAGAGGCATGAGGAAATAATCAACCATTGGGTGTAGAGGCATGAGAAAATAATCAACCATTGGGTGTAGAGGCATGAGGAAATAATCAACCATTGGGTGTAGAGGCATGAGGAAATAATCAACCATTGGGTGTAGAGGCATGAGGAAATAATCAACCATTGGGTGTAGAGGCGTGAGGAAATAATCAACCATTGGGTGTAGAGGTGTGAGGAAATAATCAACCATTGGGTGTAGAGGCATGAGGAAATAATCAACCATTGGGTGTAGAGGTGTGAGGAAATAATCAACCATTGGGTGTAGAGGCATGAGGAAATAATCAACCATTGGGTGTAGAGGCATGAGGAAATAATCAACCATTGGGTGTAGAGGCATGAGGAAATAATCAACCATTGGGTGTAGAGGCATGAGGAAATAATCAACCATTGGGTGTAGAGGCATGAGGAAATAATCAACCATTGGGTGTAGAGGCATGAGGAAATAATCAACCATTGGGTGTAGAGGCATGAGGAAATAATCAACCATTGGGTGTAGAGGCATGAGGAAATAATCAACCATTGGGTGTAGAGGCATGAGGAAATAATCAACCATTGGGTGTAGAGGCATGAGGAAATAATCAACCATTGGGTGTAGAGGCATGAGGAAATAATCAACCATTGGGTGTAGAGGCATGAGGAAATAATCAACCATTGGGTGTAGAGGTGTGAGGAAATAATCAACCATTGGGTGTAGAGGCATGAGGAAATAATCAACCATTGGGTGTAGAGGCATGAGGAAATAATCAACCATTGGGTGTAGAGGCATGAGGAAATAATCAACCATTGGGTGTAGAGGCATGAGGAAATAATCAACCATTGGGTGTAGAGGCATGAGGAAATAATCAACCATTGGGTGTAGAGGCGTGAGGAAATAATCAACCATTGGGTGTAGAGGCATGAGGAAATAATCAACCATTGGGTGTAGAGGCATGAGGAAATAATCAAGCATTGGGTGTAGAGGCATGAGGAAATAATCAAGCATTGGGTGTAGAGGCGTGAGGAAATAATCAAGCATTGGGTGTAGAGGCATGAGGAAATAATCAACCATTGGGTGTAGAGGCATGAGGAAATAATCAACCATTGGGTGTAGAGGCATGAGGAAATAATCAACCATTGGGTGTAGAGGCGTGAGGAAATAATCAACCATTGGGTGTAGAGGCATGAGGAAATAATCAACCATTGGGTGTAGAGGCATGAGGAAATAATCAACCATTGGGTGTAGAGGCGTGAGGAAATAATCAACCATTGGGTGTAGAGGCATGAGGAAATAATCAACCATTGGGTGTAGAGGCATGAGGAAATAATCAACCATTGGGTGTAGAGGCATGAGGTGGGTGTAGAGGCATGAGGAAATAATACCATCGTGAGGAAATAATCAACCATTGGGTGTAGAGGCATGAGGAAATAATCAACCATTGGGTGTAGAGGCATGAGGAAATAATCAACCATTGGGTGTAGAGGCATGAAATAATCAACCATTGGGTGAGAATGAGGAAAATCAACCATTGGGTGTAGAGGCATGAGGAAATAATCAACCATTGGGTGTAGAGGCATGAGGAAATAATCAACCATTGGGTGTAGAGGCGTGAGGAAATAATCAACCATTGGGTGTAGAGGCATGAGGAAATAATCAACCATTGGGTGTAGAGGCATGAGGAAATAATCAACCATTGGGTGTAGAGGCATGAGGAAATAATCAACCATTGGGTGTAGAGGCATGAGGAAATAATCAACCATTGGGTGTAGAGGCATGAGGAAATAATCAACCATTGGGTGTAGAGGCATGAGGAAATAATCAACCATTGGGTGTAGAGGCATGAGGAAATAATCAACCATTGGGTGTAGAGGCATGAGGAAATAATCAACCATTGGGTGTAGAGGCATGAGGAAATAATCAACCATTGGGTGTAGAGGCATGAGGAAATAATCAACCATTGGGTGTAGAGGCATGAGGAAATAATCAACCATTGGGTGTAGAGGCATGAGGAAATCAACCATTGGGTGTCATGAGGAAATAACCATTGGGTGTAGAGGCATGAGGAAATAATCAACCATTGGGTGTAGAGGCATGAGGAAATAATCAACCATTGGGTGTAGAGGCATGAGGAAATAATCAACCATTGGGTGTAGAGGCATGAGGAAATAATCAACCATTGGGTGTAGAGGCATGAGGAAATAATCAACCATTGGGTGTAGAGGCATGAGGAAATAATCAACCATTGGGTGTAGAGGCATGAGGAAATAATCAACCATTGGGTGTAGAGGCATGAGGAAATAATCAACCATTGGGTGTAGAGGCATGAGGAAATAATCAACCATTGGGTGTAGAGGCATGAGGAAATAATCAACCATTGGGTGTAGAGGCATGAGCATGAGGAAATAATCAACCATTGGGTGTAGAGGCATGAGGAAATAATCAACCATTGGGTGTAGAGGCATGAGGAAATAATCAACCATTGGGTGTAGAGGCATGAGGAAATAATCAACCATTGGGTGTAGAGGCATGAGGAAATAATCAACCATTGGGTGTAGAGGCATGAGGAAATAATCAACCATTGGGTGTAGAGGCATGAGGAAATAATCAACCATTGGGTGTAGAGGCATGAGGAAATAATCAACCATTGGGTGTAGAGGCATGAGGAAATAATCAACCATTGGGTGTAGAGGCATGAGGAAATAATCAACCATTGGGTGTAGAGGCATGAGGAAATAATCAACCATTGGGTGTAGAGGCATGAGGAAATAATCAACCATTGGGTGTAGAGGCATGAGGAAATAATCAACCATTGGGTGTAGAGGCATGAGGAAATAATCAACCATTGGGTGTAGAGGCATGAGGAAATAATCAACCATTGGGTGTAGAGGCATGAGGAAATAATCAACCATTGGGTGTAGAGGCATGAGGAAATAATCAACCATTGGGTGTAGAGGCATGAGGAAATAATCAACCATTGGGTGTAGAGGCATGAGGAAATAATCAACCATTGGGTGTAGAGGCATGAGGAAATAATCAACCATTTGGTGTAGAGGCATGAGGAAATAATCAACCATTGGGTGTAGAGGCATGAGGAAATAATCAACCATTGGGTGTAGAGGCATGAGGAAATAATCAACCATTGGGTGTAGAGGCATGAGGAAATAATCAACCATTGGGTGTAAGGCATGAGGAAATAATCAACCATTGGGTGTAGAGGCATGAGGAAATAATAATCAACCATTGAAATAATCAACCATTGGCATTGGGTGTAGAGGCATGAGGAAATAATCAACCATTGGGTGTAGAGGCATGAGGAAATAATCAACCATTGGGTGTAGAGGCATGAGGAAATAATCAACCATTGGGTGTAGAGGCATGAGGAAATAATCAACCATTGGGTGTAGAGGCATGAGGAAATAATCAACCATTGGGTGTAGAGGCATGAGGAAATAATCAACCATTGGGTGTAGAGGCATGAGGAAATAATCAACCATTGGGTGTAGAGGCATGAGGAAATAATCAACCATTGGGTGTAGAGGCATGAGGAAATAATCAACCATTGGGTGTAGAGGCATGAGGAAATAATCAACCATTGGGTGTAGAGGCATGAGGAAATAATCAACCATTGGGTGTAGAGGCATGAGGAAATAATCAACCATTGGGTGTAGAGGCGTGAGGAAATAATCAACCATTGGGTGTAGAGGCATGAGGAAATAATCAACCATTGGGTGTAGAGGCATGAGGAAATAATCAACCATTGGGTGTAGAGGCATGAGGAAATAATCAACCATTGGGTGTAGAGGCATGAGGAAATAATCAACCATTGGGTGTAGAGGCATGAGGAAATAATCAACCATTGGGTGTAGAGGCATGAGGAAATAATCAACCATTGGGTGTAGAGGCATGAGGAAATAATCAACCATTGGGTGTAGAGGCATGAGGAAATAATCAACCATTGGGTGTAGAGGCATGAGGAAATAATCAACCATTGGGTGTAGAGGCATGAGGAAATAATCAACCATTGGGTGTAGAGGCATGAGGAAATAATCAACCATTGGGTGTAGAGGCATGAGGAAATAATCAACCATTGGGTGTAGAGGCATGAGGAAATAATCAACCATTGGGTGTAGAGGCATGAGGAAATAATCAACCATTGGGTGTAGAGGCATGGAAATAATCAACCATTGGGTGTAGATGAGGAAATAATCAACCATTGGGTGTAGAGGCATGAGGAAATAATCAAAGGAAATAATCAACCATTGGTGTAGAGGCATGAGGAAATAATCAACCATTGGGTGTGAGGAAATAATCAACCATTGGGTGTAGAGGCATGAGGAAATAATCAACCATTGGGTGTAGAGGCATGAGGAAATAATCCATTGGGTGTAGAGGCATGAGGAAATAATCAACCATTGGGTGTAGAGGCATGAGGAAATAATCAACCATTGGGTGTAGAGGCATGAGGAAATAATCAACCATTGGGTGTAGAGGCATGAGGAAATAATCAACCATTGGGTGTAGAGGCATGAGGAAATAATCAACCATTGGGTGTAGAGGCATGAGGAAATAATCAACCATTGGGTG